ATGACGAGTTGCCACTCAAAACCAACAGCGACTCCCATTTAGCGGTTACTTTTTCTGTGTATGTCTGGGTGAGACCAATCTCTTGATGTTGATATATATGTGAGTATCGTCAGAAAACAAATGGGTTTAGTCACTCGGCGGTTGTTAATGACGTGGTACTTGTACGAAGGCATATATTTTTATCGCAAGTCGGTATAGATTTGTATACCCCTTGGAGGAAGAAGAAAAATAAATGTCAACGAACTCCTGTTTTTTTGCCCTTCCTATTCTTCCTTTAAATACCTTTAAATTAAATTAAATTAAACATTATAAAACAAGCAAGCATAAAATAAAATAAAATAAAATAAAATAATATAAAATAAAATAATATAAAATAAAATAAAATAAAATAAAATAAAATAAAATAAAATAAAATAAAATAAAATAAAATAAAATAAAATAAAATAAAATAAATTAAAATAAAATAATATAAAGTACAACAAAGTAAAATAAAATAAAATCAAATAAAATTAAAAGAATAGAATAAAACAAAATAAAATAAAAAACAAAATATAATAAAATTAAACAAAATAAAACAAAATAATTTAATTAAACTAAAGGCAATAAAAAAACTTAAATAAAAAGGTAAAAACTTAAAAAAAGGAAAGAAATATATTAACAAAATATAAATTCAATAAATAATAAATATACAATAAAGTGAAGTACATTAAAATGAAATAAAAAAATTAAATTAAATGGAGTGAAATTTGAAAAATAAATTTATGAAACAAATGAAAAATAAAATACAAAAATAATTAACCAAAGTAAAATAGTAAATTTAAAATAAAAAATAAGATAAAATAAAAAATGTGAAACATAACAGAATAAATTAAATTATATGATAATAAACTAAAATAAAATACAATTAAATTTAAAAAAAATATTAAAAATTATTAAAAAAATATAATACAACAAAAGATTTAAAAAATAATATTGGCTTTTTTTTTAAGTCAAATAAATTAAAATAAATTATTAAAAAAAATTTATAAAATAAAATGAAATAAGAAAAATTAAATAAATTTAAGTATTTACTTAAACAAATATATTATATATTTATAATATGATAAATTTAAATACATAAAAATTAAATCAAAGTAAGTAAAATAAAATTAAATGAAAACTTAATTTGATCATAATAATATTAATTAAATAAATTTAAGTTTAATTAAAAAAATCGAATCACAAAAAATAAATTAAATAGTTAACACAACATACCCTGCTTTACACACAAGTAAACATTTTTATTTATAGCACGAGCAAATGTGTCAACCCTTTGCTTTTTTAATTGTCGCCTGTTTAGTTTCATTTTGTGCTTTTTCTTCTTATTATTTACGCGGAAACTGTAGGGAAATTGCTTACCGGAAAACAAAAGAAAAAGTCTGATAAGGAAATGTGTGTGGTTTTGAGGTAGAATTATGTCTGGAGCCATAAATGTTTTATTTGAGAATATCCCTTAATTTCAAGATTTAAGAATTAGCTTAATTTCTTGCTGAAAATAAACATATGTATGTATATATCTCAAACTACTGCTTTGTAGTGACTTCTTTAAGAGTTCGGATTATCATCGGGTATTTTTTAAGTGGATTTTCTCTGAAAAAAAATTAATGTTCCCTTCAATTACGTAACAGATGAGGAGTTATTTATGTATTTATTACAATCATGTAAGAAGAAGAATTTTTTCTTTGATTATTTAATTTTCTTTAAATCTCACAGTAACTGCAAGTTGCCACGCTCAAGAAGTTCAATTCCAAACTGGCACAAGTTCAATGTCCATTTTTCTATATTTTTTTATTTATTCTATGGCGTATCAACTTTTCCCCAAACGCAAAACCCAAAATTGATAATGGCTCCAAAAAATATCACACTCACTCTGGCTTCAATTTATTTTTCGAACTTTCAAATTCTTCTGTATGCAATGTCAATGTGTTTCACATATTTCCAGCTGTAAATAACTGAGCTACAGCTACTCGAGTTGTTTGCAGTATTTTCTTTTTATCCCTGAACTAAAAAATACCAACACTTACCTGTATCCATTACCAACATAGCTACACACACAAACATACTCATATCTGTATACACATAGCCTGTAGAGCACAAGTATGTGTGTGTGTGTATATCAACATATTATTTATGCATTTTCCCAGGCAAAGAGCATTTAAAGGCGTCATAAATCTTTGTAAAAGCACTATACCAACTTGATGATATACGAGTATGTAGTAGTAGTAGTAGTAGTAGTGGTAGCTATTCTTGTTGTTAGTTTATGCAATTTTAGCGTAAGCACTGAGGCTGAAAATATTGCACAGTAGCACTTAGGCACTGGAATGCAAACTTAAATGCCACAACTTGCTTACACCAACACTTGTTTTGTAAGCCTTGGCAGACGTAGAGTGTAAGAAAGTGGTGCTAAGAATGTTCATATATGCTCAAGTATGTAGATATTCAAAGGCACTTTAGTGAATGAGGTGTGAGCACAAAAGCACAAGTATGCAGCCGTGCGAAATCTATGGTAGTGTTGGTAGTTCAGATAATGCGCACATGTAATTTGAATCTTATACCAAGCTAAATTTTTCTAATGGCACTGAACGAATTATGCCTTATTCATTTTATTTTCTTATGTATTATTTAACTTTTTCTTATTTTTCCTTACTTTATATTATTTTATTTTATTTATTTCCTTTTATTTTATTTTATTTAATTTTATTTATTTTATTTTATTTTATTTTATTTTATTTTATTTTATTTTATTTTATTTCATTTGTATTTAAATTAATTTTGTTGTATTATATTATTTTCAATTTACTTTTTATGCTATTTTAATTAATTAAAATTTATTATAATATATTTAATTTAATTTTTTTTTTTTGAATTTAATATAATTTTATTTTATTTGTTGTATGAACTTCTTGAGGAAAAAAAGAAACTTTTATATTATTTTTGTTGCTTCTGCAATGCGGTTGGTTACCAACAACTTGTGGAATCATTATCAAAGATCGCATTCCAGCTATAAAAATACATGTATACCTACGTCTATGTACTTAAGATTAAGAGCAATTCGCATATGATATATTTATCCTTGTATACATATATACAATATTAATAAATGTATAGAATTCATGTGAATAACGCTCATAATATGACCCAAGTGCCTTACTAAGGAATCGTTTAATTATTTATATTATATTAACCCATATACATACGCACATACATATATGTATGCTACGCAACTAACTTTAAGAACAGTCCAAAAGCGGCAACAAAAACAACAACAAGTATGTTATAAACACCAAATAACCACAACAATGCGTAATTATATGCAAGCTTTAATGGATTTCGCATAAGCGTGTGTGAGTCTAAGTATCATACACATACGAGCATACACATACATATACGTATATACACATTTGCAATTTAGTATGTTTACTTATCGGCGCTGGCGCCAATGGGCGTTCAAGGCATTAAGCGTATGCATAGGTATGCATGTATTTATTAATAATAAATTTATTTTGAGCTAATGTGTGTGTGCTTAGGTTTGTGTGCATGCCTGCTGGCGTAAGAAGTTACCGATATTTACGAACATTTGGCCGTAAAGATTTTTACCCATAAACTCAAGTAAACGGAGATTAGGGCTACACACAGTTTCTCTGTAGTTAAACATTACACTGGTTCACAACTATACCTTCATGATAGTAGTTCGTAAGAAATATGAATTTGCTTTCTTTTTAATTTTTTTCTTCTTTTGATAAAAAAAAGACTTGACAAACCCTGAATTAGTAATATTAACGTTGATGTTGATCTAGTTGTGGACTGGTACGCTTCAGCTTAGAATCTGATTTAAATTATAGTAGAAATCTCTCTCTCCAAATATTTTTTATTCCTGAAAACTTGAATTCAACCAGAACTGGCATTTTTATGAGAAAATAAAGCAGTTAACACCTTTTTCAATATATATACAATTTGTATATACAATTCTACTTGCATTCACATACGAAAAATTATAAGCTTGCGTCAAATATATCCATTGCTGTGTACTCGTATTTCCGTACACACATATATTATTGTGTTAACCAATTTAATTATATATGTACAAACACCCCCTAATATATATAATTGCTTATTGTTTTCCTAATTGTGTAATTATTCCGTAATCACTAATTCACGTCTTTATCTTAATACACATGCGATAAAATAATAAAAATAAAATAAAATAAAATAAAATAAAATAAAATAAAATAAAATAAAATAAAATAAAATAAAATAAAATAAAATAAAATAAAATAAAATAAAATAAAATAAAATAAAATAAAAAAAAAATTAAAAAAAATAAAATAAAATAAAATAAAATAACATAAAATGAAATAATTTAAATATATTAATATTGATTTATTTTAATTGCATTAATAAAACCAAACAAGCCAATATAAATCAAATTAAATAAAGATAAAATTAAATTAATTAAAATAACTAAAGTACTGTGGAATAAAACGAAATGAAATAAATAAAATAAAATAATAAAGTAAAGTGTGATGAAATTAAATAAATTTAGTTACAATTCAATTAAAAAAGTAAATCGAAGCAGTGCAAAAAAAATAATTAAAATTAATAAAAAATAAAATAAACTAAAATTAAAAAACAAAACTACCAAATTTCATTTTAAATTTAAACAAAAGGAATAAATAATTCAAATAAATTAGAGTTATTTAAAGTAAAGTTGAACTTCTTAAAATAGAATAAACTAAATAAAACAAAGTAAATATTTATATAAAGTAAAATTAAATAAAATTAAAAAAATTAAGTTTTTGCAAAAATAAAAAGTAATTTAAATAAAACTTCTTCAGGCTATTTAAAGTAAAAGCTCGCCCAACGTTTTCAGATCCACAACAATTGCTGATTGATATTTCACTAAACGGTCTTAAAACAATGCAAAATTCATTTAAACTTATCTCCTTTTCCTTCATCTACAGGGTTTTTCAATACTTTATTGCTTTGTTATAAAAGCGGAGAGCAGTTTACGAGCGCCACCTAGCAGCAGTAGCAGCAATAGCGGTGCCCTCAAGAAAAAGCACAGTTCGAGTAAAACCAGTTTGGATGAAAACTACTGTACGGGAGCTATAAACAGTCCGCTTAGTTGTGAGTATATAAAAAATATTTAATTATATTTAGCCAAGCATCACTTAACAACTTTAAGCTCACCTCATTGAAGCTTTTCGACTTATTCTATTTTGTTTTTATTTTTCTTTTCTGCTCACTCAGTTTACGCCAGTCACGAAAAGGAGAAGGAGAACGAATGCGGCGCACCCATGACAACGCTACTCGTGAAGCCACCAACGCCCCAACAGTTGGACATCTCCAGCGGCGTACAGCTGCCACTCACAATTATACCCACCGCGCAACAACAATCACGTTGTCCATTACTGCCCGCCCAGGCAGCGTCTACAGTGGGCAGCAGTGTTAAAACGTTCCTGAATGCAGCAAATCTCGAACGTAGCAAATTGCCGCCTTCACATGTCAGTTGTCTGCAAGAAACGAGCGCCTCAGCAATGACCTCACCAGCGACGAGATGCTGCAACATTTTAGGTGGTGGTGGCGGTGGTAATGTTGGCAGTGGAGGGGCTACCGTCACGTCCACGGGTGTGGTGGGCGGTGGCGTTGTGGTGACCACCGGTGGGATGGGTTATTATGATGCCTATGGCGCGGGTATTACACTTGGTGCTATGACGGGCAGTCTGAATAGGCGGCAACTGCATGGCTCAACTGCTGCGACAACGGAATTCATCGGTTTGGAGACTTTGGACATATTGCAGGGTGTGGCACCATCAGGTGGGTGTAAAGCTTTTTTATAATTTTAAACTTTTTATACCTCCGGATCAATAGTTTATGAGGGCTTCCACTTAGAGATGTACAACATAATGCTCAGCGAAAGGTGAAAAGCAACAAACTGTCATGGTTTATAGCCGAAACTTTCTCGAAATTAAGTCCATTTTCACTTTAGTGGAGCTGGTGCAGGGTCCACAGCGTGTAGGCTCTCTAGGTCCTCTTTAAATAGTCCACTGAATCCAGAACTTGCGCCGGTATAAAAGGTGTTATCAACGACTCAGATTCCCCAGTCTCTCAAACCCGAGTTGACTGCGAACTTCCACAGCAATAGAGAGAAAACTCCAACCCAAGGTCTGTCTTCGATCGCTCTAATCAACGTACAGCCTCTATCTACATATTTACCGTATCAAGTCGAATAAAGCTTTTGAGAACTATCCATTTGAGAACTCTGCGCCATCTACCAAGCCTCCTAAGACCGAATTCACCATAGTTTCCAAAGTCTAAGCAGTGCTTCTACTTACGTGCTTGTCATCCTTAATCAACTCATTTCCTTATGGCAATACAAAACCTGAACCTTTGGAAGACATATTGAACATTTCAGAGAATCCGCCATTCAATAGTCAGAGAGAGAAAGTTTACTTTAGACAGATCTTAATGCCGTTTCCGTCCGTTTCCGTCCAGCCAAGACTGTAATGGACGGGCATATGAATGACTGTTACTTTTTCGGTTCCTGCTTAAAAGAGGTCTTATGTAAAAGCTACCTGGATCTTATATATACAGAGAACCCCATTAAAGCCTCTACCATCAATTAATCATCGATTACGGCCGTAGTGAGAGTTGAAGAAACCCGGCTAGCCAATAATACCAATAATTTTGTTATAAATTTTCAATTTTATTATTAAACGAAATACTAATAATTTTATTAACTACATAAATCTTTGCCCTCCCTCCACCTGTAGACACCATCATTGGCATTTGCAGCAGCGCTCTGCCCGCCGGTATGTCATATCATCAACTGCAGCATCACACGTTGCCACGTCACCACTCGACGGCACAACAACTTGTTGCACAACACCACCAACCCAGCTACATGGAAGCGGCCACGATGTTGCCAGCAACAGCAACAATCGTATCGATAAGCAGCGGTCTGCCACTGCAACAAACCACAATGAATTATGCGCAAAGCAACAACGATGGCGCAACACCTCAGCAACCACAAGCGTCGTCCATGCCGCCGACCACACTCACGAGCATAATCAGCACAACAACAGCAACAACGCAAACACCAAAAGCGCAAAAACGTGTAACCATAATGGAGCCGACAACGCACACTTTCGATCCGCTGCTGCCCACAATGGTCGCTGCCGTATCCGGTGTGACAGCCTCAACGGCACATCATGCACGTCTGGTGACAACGACACCAACGCCCATAATAACCATTACCGGCAATACTACATCGGGGGCAACAACAACAGCGGCAGGTAACAGTGGTGGCAGTGAGAAAGTGAAAGTCTCCGCGCAGAGTGCATGTGAGAATGCTCAGACTGCAGCGGACGGCTCTTCGCCCGAAGATGAAAACTCGATGACCGGCATGTTGGATCGCATAACACATGATCTGGACTATTTGCTAAATCGCACAAATGATGCGCCAACAGAGTCACCGCCAAGTGAGGGTGAAGTGACGGCGACTTCGACAACCACGGCAACTGTGACCATCACACAAGACACCACGGCGGAGCAGTTGTAAATGTTGGCGGCGGCACGAAATGCCACTAGTGCGCTGAGATCCCGGCATGAACTACAGAGGAAAGGATTTTAATATAGCAGTAATTGTAAGTACATTCAGTTCTTGCCTAAGACTAAGCAATTTGTTCCTGTCAACCTTTTTGAACTTTTTTATTGTACAGTAGAACTTAAATTATTTAAAAGTTAATATACCAAAAGTAAAGGTTGTCTGTGTGCATAATAGTTGTAAAAAAATAAATACATTTAAGATTTACAGCTCTTTTATATTGCTAAGCATAAGAACAACATATTCTGGCAGCTCTTACAAAATGTACACCTCATGCGCCCGAGAGTATGCAACAAAAGAACAAATTGTACGATCAAGAAAAATGTTTAAAAATTTCTGAAACTTTTCAGCTTAGCGGGGCATAGCTTTCAGCGTTTTAAAAGCTCTCATGCTAAATTTTGTAATAGTCGTCGGAATAGGAGCTACAGACACATAAATTAAATAAAAAAATGCGAATTTATTGTAAATAAAAATAAAGTAAAAGAAAAAATATTGACATATATTTAGAAATAAATCAAGAGAATTTAATATTATAATTTTTATAATAATTTCGGTTCATAGATGTTATTAAATTGTTGCAAAATTTTTTGAAGTATTTAATTAACAGAAACTTTTCCAATTTCGAGGTAGCTTAAAGAAGTGATCAAAAATTTATTTTTCAGAAAAAAGGGACGTACATTCAGAAGATCACTTTAAATTTAATTTAATTTAATTTTATTTATAAATTTGTTATTTATATTTAATTTTTTATGTTAATTTATATTATATATTTTAATTCAATTTCTTTATTTTAAATTATTTTTTGTTGTTTTATTTTGTATCATATTATTATTTAATTTAATTTAGCTTTATTTTATTTTATCTTATTTTATTTTATTTTATTTTATTTTATTTTATTTTATTTTATTTTATTTTATTTTATTTTATTTTATTTTATTTTATTTTATTTTATTTTATTTTATTTTTCAATCTCCTGGATAATATCAACAATAGTTTTATTGATTTTTTAAGTTACTACAATTTTAAAGCTTAATATAAATATATGTATCTATGTATGTGGAAAAGGATTATGTAAAATATTATAAAAGAATATGTGATAAAAATTCATAGAAAATAAGTTTCCTTAAGGAAATTAAATAAATAAAAAAATACTATCTATAAATTTGTGCTATGAATTAAATACGTAAACTTTAGTTGTTCATATAGTTAAATAATTGTGAAAAAATTGTGAACGCTGTAAGTAAAAAATAAATATGAACTTAAAACTAAAACACAAAAATTTTTACAAATTTAAAATTATAATAAAAAGAAAAAATTTGATTTATAAAATTAGAGACTATAAATTATAATCTAAAGTAAAATTAGAGTGATTGATTGTATAAAAAATTAAAAGCAAAATAAAAAATAAGAATAAAAATAAAAAATAAATATAAAAAGCAACAGAATAAAATCAAAATAAAAATGAAAAATTAACTAAAATAATTACATATATTAAAATCAAATAATAATGGAACTTAAAGTTAAAGCAAAATAAAGATAAAATTGGAAAATAATGATAAAAACATTAATGTATAAATATAAAACGATTTTTAAATATAAAATTTTTAATGTACAAAATTTTAAACTTTAAACAAAAAGGTTAAAAATTATAAAGAAATTCAAAAATATTATATATAAATAATAAATTAAAAAAGGAAATTTAAAAAAATAAATTAAAAAAAAAATAAAATAAATTAACAAAACAAAATAAAAACAGTAATAAAAATTAAAATAAAATTAGAAAATAAAAATTAAAATTTGTATAAAAATGCAAGTAAGTCGAATTTAAAATATAATTTAGTATAAAAATAAAAAAAAATTTGGCAAAAATTAAAATCATAAACATAAGATTAAATAAGTTAGTTCATAAATATAATATTTCAATATTTGTGGAGTTGGCTACCTGTTAGACTTAACTACGCGCTCTCTATATTGTACAAGAACATTTCATAAAGTTTTACTTCCATTAATACCTGTAAATATATACGTATGTACATATGTAATTAGAAGAATTCCAAGAAATATGATGCATGATTCATACGTCTATATGTACATATGTATCAACAATAAAGAATTTATTAAGCGTTTAGTAAGTCTCATTATTAATTCATAAATACGCAATTAAACATAATTCAACTAGCGATTCATTGTTCAAATTGATACTAAATACATATAATATACTTAGTCATCACCGGGTTAAGAGCAGATTAAATTGAAAAAAAAAAACTTAAAAAAAAACTAAAAAAAATTGATTAAAAAATAAAAATTAAAAAATAAAGCGACAAAATCAAAGCATTTGAGCTATGCATTTAACGAAATTCTCACAATTTAGTGATACAACTTGAGTAAAAAGTATATTAAAGCAGTATATATATATGTACAATAGATTGTAGTTAGTTTAAAAATTTGTAAAATATTTAATTAAGGGAAAATTTGCAATAAAATACTGACAATTAGCATTAAATGAAATAGTAAATACATATTGTGTCAGTGAATGGGAAAATAATAAATACGTATTTATGTATGTACACGTATGTAAGAGTTTGATTAGTAATTGTTACAATTCCATGAACTGCATAGCTTCATTACACATCATCACTAATTAAATTGTGAATTATTTTGTGAAAGAAACGAATGAAATTGCTAAATGAATTGTAGAAATAGTAAATGTAATTTTTTCATTCTAAAAAAAATTTAAATAAATTTAAAAATAAAAATGGAAGCGAAGAAGAACAAAAACTACTTGGAAATAAATGGCAAAATATAGGGAGTTAAGTGCATTTGTTGAACCATTCATTAATTTAATTTAAATTTATTTTGCTTTTTTAATTGTCTTATTTATTTGTAATTTAATTTAATGATAACTTTTATGTTGTTGTTATTTGTTGTAGTTTCGATTTATTTTGCTTTTCATTTTTGATTTATTTTCTTTATTTTAGTTGATTTATTATATTTTTAACCTATTTTATTTTATTTAATCAATTTATTATGTATATTATAACTTATTTTTTTAAATTATTTGTATTTTTCTTAGTATATTTTTTTATTTTTTTATTTCCCTTTTTTATTTGTTTCCAATTTATTTTATTTACTTATTTTATTTATTTATTTTTTATTATTTTGTTATTTTTATTTTTATATTTTTGTTTTTTTTTTATTATTATATTTTTATTTTTATATTTTATTTATTATTATTCTATTTTTTTTTAATTTTATTATATATTAATTTTTGTTTACTTTTACTTTTGTTTTTCTTAGCTTATTTAATTTAACTTTTTTGTTTAATATCCCTTAATATTTTATTTAATTATTTAATTTATTTTAATTTATTTTTTTTCTTATTATTTTTTTTTATTTATTTGATTAAATTTATTTTAAATTTTTTATTTCCCTTGTTTATTTAACTTTATTATATTTTACTATATTTTATTTCATTTCGATTTATTTTAGTTTATTTTAATTGATTTAATTAGAAAAATCTGCAGAAATATCGTTTCAGAGAGTGCAAAGCGCCAATTATATATATAATTATTTCTTTAAATTAAATTAGTTTAGTTTATTTCCCTTATTTATATTACTTTTTTAATTAGTTTTATTTGGTTTTATTTTATTTTATTTTATTTTATTTTATTTTATTTTATTTTATTTTATTTTATTTTATTTTATTTTATTTTATTTTATTTTATTTTATTTTATTTAAATATTTTTTCGTTTATTTCCTAATAAACTCATTGAGATTAGCAGACAGTATAGGAGTAAGAGCGTAACAGAAACAGACACACTCTCTCTCTCTTTTCTCTCTGTATTTATCGTTTCTCAGCATCTTTTTATTTTAAAATAATTTAACAAATGTACTTATCGCTCAACGAAATCAATGGCAAAATTGTATGGGGAGGTAAATTTTCACAAGAACAAAAAAAAACTGTAATAATAATAATAAAGTCATTAATATATTCGTACTTTAAGTAAAATAAATAAATCTACAACTAAAATTGTAAAATCTAAACTCTAATCATTAAATAAACATTTTCGAGACTCTTTGTTATATAAAAGCAAAAAATCTGTTTTATTTCCTTTTTCTCTCTTTGAGAACTTACACTCTATGGATTAACTGTTTATGAGCATAAATAGTTATAACTGAGAATTCGTTTAATATCTCTGGCACTTTTTATATAACAAAATAATTATTTATATATTAGTTTATGTATTATATGTATATGTATTCATAAAGAAACACGTAAGTATTAAATTACATTATTAAATTACAATCAATTCTCTTTGGACTAGAAGTGCGAGAAATTACTCAAAATTTTGTAACGTGTCCCACGAAATACGTCGCCTCCGGACTTCGTATGGCAAAATAGAATGGATGATCGGCACGAAAGAATTTCTTGCGGGAGTCGATGGAGTTGCTGATCATAATTGGTTTGTAGGCGGCTAAAAGGAGAATGAAGAGAAGAGATTAGAGAGAAAGAGATTAATACAATTTCTTTTTCTAGTGATGAAAGGATGAAAAGAGACAGCTAGAAGAACTGATCTGCAAATGATTAGAAAAACTTTGAATAATGCAGAATTTTGATTTGAATTTTATTCCTCAAGCATAGTTTGACTATTCACCATGAAATTCCATTTTTATTCGATAGCCTGCTGAAACTGAATCTCTTAACCCACCAACAATTCACTATGGGCTGCTCCTTAACAGTATTATTCTTTCAGGAAATCTGTAAGCCAAGTGGAAATTGCAACTTCGGAGTCGCAGCAATTCGGTATTTACGCCTCATTTTTTGAGAGCGCCAGAAGTGCTAAGTAAGAGCGAGCTATTCTCCCATTGAAATATATGAGCAACGGTCTATACAAAAATCGGGGGCCCCACTACGAGCTTTCTTAAACTAGTACTGCTCTGTTGTGGTTAAAAAACACCACTTAGAAGCAGTCAAAACTGGGATGAAAAACAAGTTTTTTCCAGAAATTAATATCAAAGGGAGGAAGCTTTTAGTTGACTCGTTTTGAAGCGGCATTTCGAGCTTGTTGTCCGCTTGTGCCTTGGTCGAATCTGGATTCGTAGGAACTAAGTCTAGAACAAACTCAAAACTTTGGTCTCATGAAGAAGCTCAAACTCCTCGTCTGCTATTGGCGTTGCAGACGAGTTCCGTAAACGCAATTTACTGGCAGAGAGTTAAAGTTCTGAGTAAAGAGACTAATTTTCTAGGAATGTACATACTTCAAGGCTGGTCGTTGTTATAGTATTTGTTGTTGTAATCAAAAATTATCACCAAAATTTCATCTTGGGAATAAGGCGGTAGTAACAGTCTGGTTAGAAAAAAGTCTTTGTAATTCCGGTCTAAAGGCCCAACTACCGTAGGAAATATTGGATTTTAGTCGCCTCTTATGAGAAGCATGCCCTAGATTCAAGAGGCGCTTTGTAACTGCTGAAGCGTCTTTACGCCGAGTTTCTACTCCGATGTTTGCAGTATATTCTAAGTCGCCTCCGATGCTTAGTACTCGACTATTGCTGCCGCCGTACCGCGGATAATTTTTGAACCTCTAACAGTCAAACTGGATGGTCGGTAAAACGACCCGTGTAACGGTTCTGCTATGTATTACTGAATAGAGTCCGTAAGTACTTTCTACTTAATGTGATGCCAGGGGTTCCTATGGTCAATATCGAGAGAGCAGACTTATGCCAGACACTGGAGTCACCTAAGTATAGTCAAGCAGTATATCTAGAAATTCTTCTGCGGAACTTAATTTAGCTAAACTACTCCGATTAAATTCAGAAGGTGAAGAACGGACTCAATTTAGTGCGGAACATGAGAACGAGTGGGCCATTAAACCTCTTGTATAATTGGTTCCAGCTCCGCCTGATCAAAGCAGACCTAGTAAGCCTACGCTAAAGATATTTTTTCACTAGTAGAACCTTGTCTTGTCATGCTCGGACAAGTTTCCCAGAACATATTTTTATGCCTAGCCATCTGGCGTTCCATCTCCTACTATGTTTTCCCCTTTGATTGACCTGCCATTAGATGGATGATGTCTTTAATGTAGACTTATTTCTGACTTACCCGCACTACTTGCACCTTCCGTACCCGACTCGTTCACCTCTATACAGACTTTGTGTAGAATATCCGAAAACGTTAAGGAGCTCGTGGAGTTCGCCGACAGCATGTTTTTGAAATTTGCTGCCTTGGAAAAGATCGTTGTGAGACCGAGCTGTGAGAAATAATAAAAAAGATATTACAATTAGCTCAACATACTCGAAAGCGCACACACTCCCCACACACCTGCTCCAAAGTACGCCGCAGGCTACACTCAAAATCGATTTTGAACTTTGGCAAAAGCACCTGTACACTCTCCATTTGCATGCGCTCCACCAACACATTGAGATCCAGCGCATGCAACTGTTGCTCTAATGCCGCCAGGCCATCACGCCGATTGGGCAGCACCACCAACATGGCCAACTCGTCGTCATGTTCATACGGCAGCTCAATCGCACGCGCATCCAACTCACGCAACTCAGCAAACTTCACGAACATATCATCATCGAAGAGCATTGGCACCGCCACGGACGCTGGCCCAGCAGTAGCCAACGGCGGTGAGTCGCCATTCGCCACAGGCGCCTCATCTGCGCTCAACTGAAAGTCATACAACCCGGTGCGGTACGCGCTGAATGGCAGAAACCATTTATTCTGAAAGTGCACCGCCGCCAAGGCGATAGCTGTGGACGCTTCGAGCGCCGTGACCGTGGACAAAAGCGCATCACTGATGCGCCACGCATAGCCATCGGCTGTCGCTTTCGTCAAATCCTCATCGAGCTGTGCGCGCAATTTCGCGATGCTGCATAAATCTCGTTGCACTGTTGTTGTGTGGAAATATTTTTGGGCGATTTTGCGAAATTCATCGCTGATTTCCAAAACCGCCGGCAGCAACAACTCACTGCATAACTGCATGTGCGTATCAGCTGCGGGGTCCGTGCTCAGCTGCAGTTCCGTCGCAAAGTGGTTGGCCATTTTCGCATTGCTGGCGTAACGTGCCAGCTGTAGTATGCGCTGGAGCTCCTCCGCGGTGCTGCCATCGCTGCCGAGATAGAGTAGCGTGAGCAAAGCCTCCAGCTGTAACGGTGATACGATAACATTGTCTGTGCTGTGCGTTTGCACGAGACAGCGCAGCAGTTCGTTGCTAAACTGTGATGCGACGACATTTGTCGTGCTGGCGTTGCCATTTCCGTTCGTCGGACTGCTCTGGCTTGCCATTGTGCGATTTAGTTCTTGTTTTTTTACGGTTTTACTTTGTGTTTTGTTTGTGAGGCGCGTGGGCGCGTCGCGGCGTGTTGTCGTTGGCGTTGCGCCGGAAAACTTTCTATTCTTGTTGCTGTTGTTGACGAGCTGTGCGATTACAAAATGAGGCATCAAATTAGCAAACATAGAATTTATTCTTTGCTGGAGCATAAATGAATATATTTATGTGTGTGTGTGTGTGTGTGTGTATGTATTAGTTAAATGAGTCTCATAAGTGCCCGTGGGCGTGAGTAGATAAGTGGCGGCCGTACATAATTGGGTTAGGCGCTGATCGCGATGAAAAATTGCAGCTGTTTATCAAAACCGTCAGCGCTCTGCAAAGGAAAACAAAGGAAAAGGTGTCGCCTTTGTCTTTAATGCAAGTCTACATAAATATTTCGCCACGATTTGGTGCTCATTTTATCCCCTCGGATTGGAAGAAGTTCTTTCGCAACTAATTTTTTTTTTTTTTTGTATTTTCCTATCGCAAGCGATGATTGATGGCACTGAGTTACTGTGTCAAGTCAAAAATGTTCCCACATGAATTTTGCATTATTTTTTTTTTTTTTTGAATTTTTGATAAAAAAAATTATAATTCTCATCAAAAATGATACTCCACCGGACATAAGATCTCATCTGAGCTCAGCCCCCTTATAACTTTTTTGATCATGAATGAGTCTTAACTTGGACCTTTGGCTCGAGATATGTAAGTACCAGTGGAAAAAGAGCGAGGGCCATCAAAAGATATAACTATTCAATAAGTACGACGGGCCGAGTTGATATTACCATAGTCGTCTTTCTGTCTATTGAGAGAAAAACAGTTGAATACTGCTGGCAGGTTCATCACTGACACTGTAGGTATCTGGAACCTTAGAGAGTTAAGCACACTTTTCTTGGGTACTCGACTTCAACCCAACTAAATGGATTCACATATATCGGATTAGTCCCTTCTCCATCATAATTCCTTAAAGGAAGCACTAGAAGGAGATGAATTTTGTGTAGAAATCTCCGGAGATTGGTCGGTCGACCGTGTGTTACGCTGCGCCACGCCAGATACTAGCAGGAGACAAACAGAGAATAAGCGTCAAGCCTGTCAGAACGCTAACCTGCTGACACTGAAGGGGGAACATTTTACTGTCGTCCATGCACCATTCACACAGAGAAACGCCTTTACTCTCCCCCGGAATATATTATTAAACTGTGTAAGCAATATCCGCAGGGATGCTACCATTGGACTCATGCTAACTGACACTTACTTGATGTTGAATCACCATCAAGGCATATGAGGAAGGGAGCGCTTGAACTAAAAGACTCCATACAACATTCAAAAACCACACCACTGGACAGGAGAGGCTTTAAAGGCCATGCACCAAGAGTCTGTGCACACCTTTATTAACTGTTCTGCCATGAATGGCGTACTCGGTATTCAAGTAACAGGCGAAGTGCTCCGGCTGTCAGCACCGAACATGTTAAGGTCTCAAGTCGACTTACTTTTAGTTATTCATACATTTTGCATGCAATAAGCCCACGCCAGACACTAACCATTGCTTTGCATGCCCCCTAAAATCAACTCAGCTAACATCCCGCTCCTTTAGGGTCGGAGCCATCGCAGCCCAACAATCCGTTTAGTGGCTCTGTGTTCCCAATTTTAAGCTTACAGCTTTTTAACCAAATTTCTGTAGACCATGTACTGTTGGATAGAGCTTCGGCAAATGTTTTTAATTTTTTTCAAAAAAAGTGGTATAAAAGAGGTAATCCCCCAAGAAGTGCGCTCAGCTACGAGAGAATATTTTGTGGTTTGAGTGGAGTTCAAATGAATTTAATTCATTTCATTTTTTAGCATCTGCCATAAAATCATTGAAGCAAATTCAATTAAATTTTCTTTTTAATTTTTTACCATTTTTCAAATTTTTAAACAAAATTTCCATATTTTTTTTTATAAAAGCTGATCAATAATTCCAAAGAAGAAATCACATTTAATTCACTATTAATATTACTTAAAGAAAAAATTACAAAAAGAAATAATAAATAAAATATAAGCAATATAAATAAAATAAGTACAAAATATAACAAAAATGCTAATATGAAATAAAATAGATTTAAAACAAAATAAAAAAAATTAATTAAAATTAAATTATGTTAAATTTAGTTGAATTAAATAAATTAAAAAATTAAAAAATTAATAAAAATAAAAAAATAAAATAAAACGTAGTGGCTCTCAAACTTTTGAGGCCTTTGGCTTAAACAAATACAAGCTAAAATTAAATTATGTTAATTTAAGTTGAATTAAATAAATAAAATTAAAAAGGCAGCGGCTCTCAAACTTTTGAGGCCTTTGGCTTAAACAAATACAAGCTAAAATTAAATTATGTTAAATTAAGTTGAATTAAATAAATTAAAATAATTAAAAAATTAATAAAAATAAGAAGATAAAATAAAACGCAGTGGCTCTCAAACTTTTGAGGCCTTTGGCTTAAACAAATACAAGCTAAAATTAAATTATGTTAAATTATGTTAAATTAAGTTGAATTATATAAATTAATAGAAATTAAAAAAAAATTAAATAAATGGAGATCATATATAAAAAACCTAACTCTCTTTGGAAACAAAAATTAAACAAAATTAAACAAAATTAAATTAAATTACGTGAAACAGAAAAAAGTAATTTAATTAAAAAACACAGAATGAAACCCAGTAAAATAATATAAAAAAGAAAACTGTTGGCGCCACCGGTAATACAGATGCAGTTCCGACAACCACACAGTGACTCTCAAACTTTTAAGCCTTTTGGTCTAAACAAATAAAATAAAATTAAATAAAAAAATTATTTGAATGCCATAAAACAAAAAGAAAATAAATTAAGATAAAAAAAGTAAAATGTAATAAAGTAAAAAAAAATTAAAGAAAAAAACTAAAAAAAAATGATTTAAGTGATTTCTTAATAAATTGGAATAAAATAAAAGAAACAAAATTGAAGAATTGAAGTAGATTGAATAATATTAATTGATTAATAAGAAAACAAAACTTCAAAATAAAAATTAGAATATAGAAGTGAAAAATATATGAAATTAAATTAAACAAAATGAAAGGGAATGAAGTTAAAAATATTTAATGGTAAAAATTTAAATAATATAAATTAAGTAAATTAAGATAAATATTAATTTAATTTTACTAATTACAAATAAATGGAATAAAATTAATTAAAATAAAATAAAATGAAATTGAGTTAAATAATATAAAACAAACTTAAAATATAAAATAATTTAAAAAAATGTTGGAATATGGAATCAAGGAACATTTATAATAAAATAACTTAACGAAATTAAATTAAAACCAAATAAATTTAAAAAAAAAGAAGAGAAAAACAGGTGAAGTTAAATTAAAAATAAATATAATAAAGAAGTCAAATTAAATCAAAATTAGTTTGCTAGGCCGAAATCGCTTCAGCAGTTACAAAGCGCCAATTATATATATATAAATAAAATAAAATAAAATAAAATTAAACATACAAAACAGAAGCAACCGAAACATTTACACCCGCATGGCGTCTTATTAGGGTGAACACAGCTGTATTTTCATTTATGCTTCTTTATTCCATTCTATAAACATCTAGTATGTACATACGTGTATATAACCACATACATATATAGTATATATTTCTATTAACGCTTGTGTAGATTTTACGAAATAGAATTAATTGTTTTTGTTCACAATATTAAAAATATATATTTTTGCATGGTCGCAAGACAATATGGCATGGCATACAATATACTCGTAGTAAGAGCACGCCCAAAGTTTGACGTGTACGTAGGCAGCGTTGTCTTTGCACATAAATTATTTTTAAACACACAAGTGAATTTATTAAATCAAAATAGAAACATTAAAGGAAAATATTCAAATGCATGTGTACGTCAAATGTGAAAAACACTTCAATTCAAATTGATTTAATGCACTGCAGTTTGTACTTTTTTTTATGGAATTGTTGCTTTTATTTCGTAACTAATTTAATTTTTTTTTAATTTTATTCATTATTTCTTGTTTTGGGCTTTTTTCTAGTTTTTTTTTACATTTAATATATATTTTTTATTTAATGTTTTATTATTATTACTAATATTTTGTTCAATATTATGTCTCCAATTTTTAATTTTTCGATTAATTTTTTATTATTTTAATTATCTCTTTTAGTTTTTTTTTAGTATTAATTTCTTGCAGCTTTCATTTTTCCGATTTCTCTTTTCATTTAATAATGTTTAGAATAGCAGGAAAGCAACAATCCACATACGTATCTTGCATTACATCATATTTATTTCTTTTCTTATTTTGTAATCTCTTCAGCAACGTATGCATGCTCATTTTAATTTTTGCTTTTATTTCTAATATTAATTATTTTCTAATTGTTTTTAATTCGTTCACTTTTTTCATTTTTTTTTTATTTAATTTAAATTTTTTTAATTTTTACTTATTTTCTAATTTTTAGTTTTATTTTGTTTTTAAATTTTTTATTTTTTTTTTAATTTTTTTTTTATATTTTTTTTTTATATTTTTTTTTTAAACTTATATTTAATTTTTAGTTTTTTTCTAATTTTTATTATTTTTTAATTTTTTTAAATTTGTTTAAATTTTTTTTTATTTTTAATTTTTTTTAATATTTTTTTAAATATATTTTTAATATTTTTTTAAATTTATTTTTAATAATTTTTTTTAATTTTTACTTTTTTTCTAATTTTTATTATTTTTTATTTTTTTTAATTTTTTTTTTAATTTGTTTTAAATTCCTTTTCAATTTTTTATTTTTTTAAATTTATTTCTAATTTTTTTTCAATTTCTGTTTTATTTTAAATATTTGCAAATTTTTTTAATTTAAATTTTTTTAATTTTTATTTTTATTTTGTTTTTAAATTTTTTTTTTTATTTTTTTTTTATATTTTTTTTAAACTAATATTTATTTTTTTTTAATTTTTAGTTTTTTTCTAATTTTTATTATTTTTTTATTTTTTTAAATTTGTTTAAAGTTTTTTTTATTTTTAATTTTTTTTAATATTTTTTTAAATATATTTTTAATATTTTTTAAATTTATTTTTAATTTTTTTTTTAATATTTACTTTTTTTGTAATTTTTGTTTTTATTTTGTTATTAAATTTTTTATTTATATTTTTTTTTAATTTATTTTTATTTTTTTTTAATTTTTAATTTTTCTAATTTTTATTAGGTGTTAATTTGTTTTAAATTCCTTATTTATTTTACTTTAATTTATTTCTAATTTTTTTCAATATTAACTTTTTTTTAATTTTTATTTTTAAATTTTTTATTTAATTTTTTTTTATCTTTTTAAATTAATTTTTTTTTTTTTTAATCTTTGTTATATTTGAAATAGTTTCAAATTTTTTTAATTTAAATTTTTTAAATTTAGTTTTTAATTTTTATTTTAATTTTTATTTTTAAATTTTTTATTTAATTTTTTTTTTATCTTTTTAAATTAATTTTTATTTTTTTTAATCTTTGTTATATTTGAAATAGTTTCAAATTTTTTTAATTTAAATTTTTTAAATTTAGTTTTTAATTTTTATTTTTATTTTTTTAAGTATTACCTTTTTTAATTTTTTTTAATTTTAATTTTAGTTTTTTGAAGTATTACCTTTTTGAACTTTTTTTTTCAATATATTTTTTAATTTTTATTTTTATTTTTTTGAGTATTACCTTTTTTAATTTTTTTTAATTTGTTTTAAATTTTTTTTTTTATATTTTTATTTATTTATTTTTTAATTTAAATTTTTTTAATTATTTTTTTAATTTTTATTTTTATTTTTTTAAGTATTACCTTTTTTAATTTTTTTTAATTAATTTTTTAATTTTTATTTTTATTATTTTAAGTTTTACCTTTTTTAATTTTTTAATTTTTATTTTTATTATTTTAAGTTTTACCTTTTTTAATTTTTTTTAATATATTTTTTGAACAAAATTTTTTTATTTTTGCTTTTAAATCCCGCACCGAATTATGTTACTCAGTTATGGCATTGTTTGCACTTAATCCACCACTTTAAATACATACACGTACACACATACGTAAATACATCTGTTAAGCCCACTCAGTAAGGAATTAGCCAAAAATTATGTTAATACCTATTTCCCAATACACTTGTTGTCTAATATCGTCAATACAATTTTCTTCGCTGATATTCACACGTTCTTTCTCTTCAACAATTTTAGAAGCGCTTACAAGCGTACACACCGCCAATTATATATGTATACATATATACACGTTCGCTGGGAAACACTTTCGTTGCCGACACCGTTCCACTGATGACTGAGCGTGCTGATCATGCCAATTGATCGAGAACGCGCCACACTAAATAATTATTTTGCAGTTTTTTCCTCCACTGTTTCTTCTTTCTTCTATTGACTACTATAGCTATTTGCTCGGAAATTAAATTTTTCAGAAAATTGTTTGCATTTTCTACATACAAAATTTGCTCTAATAAATATATTTTCCTATTTTCCATTGCTCTTTCTATTGCTATTTATATTTATTATGAATTATCTCTAACACTGTATGAGCGAATGTACACGTATGTATGTATGCTCATATGTGGTGCGTGGTTGCATTATGCTCACCGCGAGCATTACAATTCTTATGCCCAGCTGAGGCATATCCACGGCACGATCAATTTGTTAAGCGTTTAGTGGTCGGTAGTGGTCGGTAGTGGTCGGTAGTGGTCGGTAGTGGCGATTAAGAACACATGTCGGGTCTCTCGATTCTATTGCTTGGTGCGAATTTATAGATATACTTTATAGGTATATACATACATATATATACAATATACATACATTGTACATACAAGTAGCACGTTGAGTGTTCAATTAAGCGCTTAACTGTTTCGGTGTTGTTGATATTTGACCATGCTGGATATGAATGATGAAAGATTATTATTGTTATGCCCTGCATGTAATTTATATATACATATACATATATACATTATATGGGTATACTTTATAGCAGCTAAAGTGATTTGCTCCCGAGTTCTCCATCCAATTTGTGATGTTTGTCTTGATGTTTTGCTTTCGGTGGCACCTAAGCCACCTCTGGCTGATGGTTTTTTGAGAAGCATCCGAAAATTGACATTTCCTGCTGAAGAGGCGTGTAAATATTGAATATTATTATTCGACAATTTTGGATTTTTGTTTTAGTCGGAATTCGAACCCGTACCCAACCACATAGTAGTCCGTACCGTTAACTACTCGGCTATTTTGTCTGCACACGACCTACCAGGGGCATGCAAATGTTCATTCTGCCTTCATCCTTCACAGGTTGAGTGTATGGAACAGAGCTTCTAAAGAAGAGCAGTCTTAAATTCTCCACGAGTGAGTCGAAGCTTGTTGGTACCTTTGGTGTTACAGTCTTCTCAAACGAAGTGCAAAGCACCGGTCTGCCACACTTGCCAGAGCAACATCCTCCTCTTCCGATCAGTCGACTGGAGTATGCGTTTATTAGGGCTTGCAGAGTATAGACTTTTTTCCTGTTGTTGTTGTCATTTTAACGATTCGGTAGCCCAGCTTAAGAACATGTACTCTCAGTCGATGCGGTCTAAAAAGAAACTCAGAAAACTAGTTATTATGGCGGACCCTGAGGTAGATGTCAGATGAGCAGGTATTAGTGGACACGTAAATGGCGTGAGCTTTACGAAGGGCAGGGCAGGGTGGGGCACATATTCAGTCAAGTCTGAAAGAGTAGTCTTCAGCAACACCCAGTCGTTAGTTGTGCCACTATTACTGCATCTCACAAGGTCGCTGGAGCTCATCGTCTGCTATAAAAAGTGCTTGGATTGCAACGACGCCATTTAGACACCATTCAGAGAAGTGATGGAGGAATGGACTGACTCGCTGACGCTGAAGACATAACTGGGAGCACGAAAGACATCAGGTTCAAGGTGTTTTTCTGGCTGAATTGTAATTTCTTTATCTACTTTTCACTTGTCCCTGGCTTAAAAATTGGTACGGCGCAGTTTATGACTGGTCGACTGGTAGTTTTAAAGATTGCTAGACATATATTTTTGCTTTTGTTGTTGGGATAGTCGCAAAAAATTCCAGAAAGTAGTTTTTGGGGAGTTTTGCGGGTGTAATAGTCTTTGGATGTCCAAAAATCCGTGCCGTTCCGGTATAAAGCCCCCTCTGTCTCGCGGAAATCCTTGGTTTTTAGTCGCCACTTACGATAGGCAAGCCTTACCCCTACCCGCGGGAAAGTGTTTTCTTTTGTCTGCCACGGCAGTCGGTGCTGCATGCCGAAGTGGAGCCTCACTTGTTCCTGTCACTCATTCGACGACCTTGAACCGCCTAAATCAAGAAGTAAAATTTGTTTATAAATTTCCTTGCTCTGCTCACTGTATCCAAATCCAAAATCTATTGCTGTAGCATGAAATTACGGTATTTTTTTTTTTGTGTTTTAGCCGTCGGATTAGGGAATCGAGGTGTGTGGTTAATATCTCTATACCATACCATATATACTCGCCATGATCTTTTCCTAATATGTCGGCTCACTTTAGTTTGAGCCTGTAAATATCACCACTTAGCCAGAGTCAAAAAAGGAGTAGTAATATATAAGTAATCTCTCTCTCGCTATCTCTTTCTCTATCTCACTTTCTAACTCTTTCTCTCTCTCTAGCTCTCTTTCTATCTCTTTCTCTCTCTCTGTATCTATTTCTAACTCTTTCTCTCTCTCTAGCTCTCTTTCTAACTCTTTCTCTCTCTCTGTATCTATTTCTTACTCTTTCTCTCTCTCTGTATCTATTTCTATCTCTCTCTCTCTCTGTACCTCTCTCTCTGTATCTATTTCTATCTCTTTCTCTATCTCTCTTTCTCTCTCTCTGTATCTATTTCTATCTCTCTCTCTTTCTCTCTCTGTACCTCTCTCTCTGTATCTATTTCTATCTCTTTCTCTATCTTTATTTCTCTCTCTCTGTATCTCTCTCTCTGTATCTATTTCTATCT